GTGTGTGTGTGTGTGTGTGTGTTTGGAGAGGTTAAAAAACAAAGCAGGGTGAGAGAATGAATATTGAAGAAAATTTGTTTATTTATGTTGCTATTTATTTAAATAAAGTTCTCTTCCTAAATACTGTTTTGCCTCTGAGTCTTTCTATAAATTTGACATAACTTGTCTTTGACGTTTTTGGTTCTCTTGTACGTTTTTATGTGTTTTAAGTTTATGATTTAAGATTAATCAGTCAAAGAATGCTGAACAAACAGTTTTGGATAGTTTGCTCCAGTGCCATTTCAATACTGAGATCAGTCAGAAATCCTGACTGAGATTCKGCTTTTTGTCAGCTTCAAGCATCTGCTAGCTGGCTAGTGGTTTTGTTGTGCCATGCAAGGATTTTCAGTGATTTCTGGCAAAATTCTCATGAAAATGATGAAGCCCCTGTGCTCTGTGGGGATCCTGTGATGCAGAGTGATGCTGGTGATGCAGCTGACCCCAGTGACCCTCCTGCTGAAAGGACAGGTGTCTTGACGTCTGTCAGGCAGAGGCAGAGCTATGTGGGAGTCGAGTGACGCAGCCGCAATGTGAGAGACTGAAACGTCCACAAGCCAAGTGAACCCTGCAGCACCGCTCTCTAACTCCCACCTCCATGCTTGCTCTTTATCTCCACTTAGATCAAACAAAACATAAAGTCTGCCTAAAGTTTTCCAGGATGTGTTTTCATGCTATAGATTTGCACTACTAGAAGACGCTTCACTGAGTCGTGTGTAGCATGTGTTGTGACACGTGTTGTACGAGTGTTGGGTTTGTGAAGGCTCAGCCTGGACGGTCCAGCTGGCATCAACACATCAGCCATCAGCTGCTGCAGACATGAGCTCATAGCAGCTTCCCAACATGCACCAAGGTTTTCTTCAGAAAAACATCAACAACAACAAAGATCGCTGCACGAAACCTGCAATCTTAACTTCCTAAAGGTTTGTTAAAAACCATCCTGACATCAATATGATAGCAGGATCTCATCCAAGGACTTTTTGTTTTTGATGATTTCTCAAATGCAAATGTCTCATCTRAAAAAAAGCTCAAATGCAAAAGAAACTTTTAAATGTTTTTTTTTAAAAATGTTGCTTTATTTGCAAAAGCAAACTATTTTCAAGAAAAAACGTTTAGAAAGCCTGTTCAATAATCGCCATGGCAGGCAAAAATTTCATTACCCGTGTCTGTGGCTGTCAGCAAAATATCTCAAGAACCAGAGGAAGAATTTCAACAAAACAAGCAGAAAGTAAACTTTGGATGTGAAGCTTCTAGGGGAGACAGGGGACAGTAGCAACAAGGGACGGTTGCAACACGTCATTTTTCTCCAAACAGAAACAAGCTCGAGTGATGAC